TATATTTGTCACTAAACCGAATAAATCACAACGTACATGCATACATATATAGGACACAAACATTTATTAAAGAGACTTCTTTACTTAAAAAATATAAGTGATAAAATTTTAACAAAAAAGTGAAAAGAAATGAAGCAAAAGAGTTATTTGTTAGGTATGATTCCATAAATAGGGTATTGCATGTGTAAACATTAGTATGATAAGTGGGAAGAGTGAATTAATATTAATAAGTCTAAGGCTATCATACATAAATATATGCATATATGTATTATAGACTTTAACAAGTGGTGTGGTTGGATTTGTTATAAATTTGGTTTAAGCTTTAAAAGCAGTTGGTAAAATTTTTAGGTTGTACATTTGTTATGAATTCATATTACCTACTATGTAGACCTTGTACACATACATACATCTATGAAGCGTTTGGTTTTTAACATGGTACGATAAGACTAGTGAGCTGTGAGTAGTGAATAATGAAAACCACAGGGACATTATTGCTCACACTAAAACTAAATGAATGACTAATGGCTAAACAATGAATGAAGAGGGGTTCTTCTGCAATATTATTTAGTTGAAATATTTACTACAAATTTCCTTTTTCTGTATCCATCTCGGGATTTTTTCCAATAATTAATGCATTTCCTGCCCCTCAATTTACAACTATCTCCTCTTCTACCACACCTTCTTCAATTCTCTTCCTCCTCAATCTCTCTCTACACCATTAAATTAAGCTTTAAAGCAAACCATCTATCTCTCAATTCTTGTTTACATATAAATATATGTATAAATGGCCTTGGAGCCTCTAAACCAACAAACCCATCTCACTAGCGGTGGTGCTTTTCCTGATCACCGCCTTAATCTCCCTCTTTTGTTCTTCAGCAGGAGTTGCCAATCTCAAGGTAAATTCTTCTATGTTATTTGATCATGTGTTGTCCTTAAATACGATGTATATCCTATAGTCAAATTATAGTACTTTGGTTCATCGAGATTTTTGTGTTTTGGTTTCCACAGTTGACTTAAATCATCAAAATCTGGGAACAGATTGATTTCGGAGAAGATGAGTGGAAGAAACGGAAGAGGTGGTGGTAGGAATCTCGACTTGAAGCTGAATTTGTCGCCACCAATAGCTCACCGGCGTACGGAAGAATCACCTAGCAGATCAGCCACAATTTCACCGACAACTTCCTGTGTGTCATCGGAGAACATCCAAGATGAGACGGAGCTCCGGTACTCAAGTAGCCCAGAGGCCACATCGATGATGCTGGTTGGATGTCCTCGGTGCCTGATGTACGTTATGCTTGCTGAGGACTACCCTAAATGCCCTAAATGCAAGAGCACCGTGTTGCTCGATGTCGTCCATGATAGCTCCACCAAGAAAACAAGAAAGTCTTGAATGAAGATTGAAGATGCATGGTGAAAAAGCTTTTATAACTTAGCACTAGTATTATTAGGGTTTTCTTTTTTGTTTTTTGTTTTTGGTTTTTTTGTTTTTTTTGTTTTTTTAATTTTTTACTTTTATGAATTATGTTATTTAACCGTGTCCCATGAATGGAGTTCGAATGACAATACCCATTTTACCCCTCTACTTATGTCTTTAATCCGGCCTACGTACTAAATTTTAGGAGGTTACAAAGGTAATTTCAATTTTTTTAAAACACAGTGTTATTGTAAACTTGGTTAATTTACAAAATTTCCAATTTACCCGTTGAAAAGATAATTGGCTTAATTTTATCTATTTTATGCCTAATTATAGTGTTACTATGTTCGGGTTATGTCCATGTACAGAATGACACGTCAGATCACTTTATTGTTCGACAAATGTACGATAGGTTACTTCTTAAAATTTCCCAGGATGGGAGAGAGTTAACTACAACGAAATCACATATACTGTTATCTTGATAAATATTATATAGAAATAATATTGATTACAGAGTATATTTAAATTAGAATATATTTAAATTGTTCTTTTTACATAAATAGAATACAAGCTTTCTAGCTAAAATTAATATTACTACTTCTAAAGATGATTTGTATATTGACAAATAACAAAAATTAAGATTTAAACTTATGAGAAGTACAAAGGTTCCTTATCATAAATTATAGTTAAAGTTCAAATCTTGTTATTATACATGTAATAATTTATATGCAATGTTAGTACCATCTTTAAATGTGATTTTTCTAATCTTTCTTGAAAACTCAGTTTTCTACTAAGTCATTTATTAGCTTATGATGTTGTACCAACATATTGAATAACTATTTATTGAAGCAAATATGCTGTTGAATTTCAAGAGCAGTTGAGTGGATAATTACGTATTTAAGTCCCACTAGTACGATTTGTTGGTAAATAATCCACATGACCTTAATGTGTACATGTTCTATATATACCAATACTTCTTTTGAGAAAGTGATAGATTATAGTCATAGGTAAACTGAATAAATTAACTATTATAAATGAGTTTTTAACTAAAGTAATTATTTTTTAGTTTTTAAAAAATGACCATTTTTTTCGAATATACTATTCCGTACTGTTCTTCAAATCCAGTTTCTTTTTTTTGTAACATTTTTCAAAGAAATTTCTCTGTTTACATCGGAAAAGTCTATTTCGAATTATTTATTGTTACCATTTCAATCGATGGTATGATTTCAAATTATAGTATCAAATATATTTTCAATATATTTTCTATTGTCTATGTTTGTTTAAGTTTTTGTTAGATTTTAGTAAAAAAAATATATAGAAATTAAGGAACTGTAATTGGATTTCGAATTTGTTTCAAAAATTCCTAAGTTTTTTTTTTTTTTCTCGAAATTCAGAATGTCAGTCCGAAATATATTTTTTTACCAAAAAAAAAATTTATTTTTTGTCAATCCGGAATTTCTCATTTCGGACTTGATGGTTATTTTGCCGGAAATCAAATTATTTGGTTATTTTCTTTGAGTAGCATATTACATTACGTTTAAATTACTCAATTTCCATATAATATGTCATGATAATAAAATAGTACATATAAAACCCTGTTTGGGATGATGATATATTGTGTTACAAAGCACCGGTATTTATATCTTTTTTATGGGAATACATATGTATATAATGTAAATATGTTTTTTTTATGTTCATTTTGTTTTATATTTCCATATATATTTGTTTGGGTTCGTAAGAGGATGCTAATATCCATAGATTATATAGATATATGTACTTGTATATTTATTCTATCAAATAGGAAAAACGAGATTTAATCGGTTATTTTGTATCCGTCTTTCATTTCAAGTGTGATTGCCATGAAGTATATCATGGTTAAAGACAAACCCTAAGGTGGTGTTTCTTTTTCGCGTATTAAGATTTATAAGGGATCAAAATAACAATAAATACAAACTTGGATAGATTTAAGAATTGTGTTTTCAAACACTTTTCGAAATCTGTAGTTTGTCCCTTTAGCCTGGGGTACACGAATTCAAAAGTAGGATAATTTAAGAATGAACCAATATGAATTACAGACCTAATTCAGATTGTAAAACACAAAATACCTGTTAATGTGTTCTTGAGAGATAGATCAAAAATCTTAGTAATACGATTTTTAGACTATATTTGTAACCTGTTTTCTGAAACATGAAGAGTTCTTATACAAGAGGGAAATGTGCTTAATGGCATTTGCATCCAGATTTGGCGCCAAAACAGGTAGGTATTGGACATAACCAACACCTGCATCGTCATGATGTCATCAAGTGAATTTTGGCGGGAAAAATACATGGATGAAAAATAAAACCAGTTTAGGTTTCGGGACACTGCCCCGAGCCCCGCCAAGGGCTCTGCCCCTTGGACCTCGCTAAGGGGGCTGCCCCTAGACCCTGCTAGGGGCGCAACCCCTTGGAACCCTGCACCCATGGGCACTTCCCCAAGGCCCATGTATTCCCGAGTTCATATTTATCACTCTGAGTGTGCACCCCGCACTTCCTATCTCGATTAGTAAATGAAGCTCAACCTATCTCATTATTAATAATAAATAAACCAAAATATATTGATAATACTAAAATCACCAACATAACGTACATTATTAAAATGATTAATGTCATAAAAACACTAAAGTTTTCAGGTTTTTGTCGGTTTTCTCCAAAATGTTCAGTTTTACCGTTTTACTGGTGATAACAAGTTTTCTAGGTTACAATTATATTAATTTCACAAAAAACCCTTAAGTTTATAGGTTTATTATTTATTTATTTATTTATTTTTGAATGTTTTTACCCTTAAGTTTATAATATTTTTACGCTTTTACCCGTAGATTTCTTTTTTCATATTATACGTATTCATACAGAAAAATCATATTTATATACAAAAAATATTTAATTAAATATTGTATTTATGTTTTTTTTAAATGTTATTTTTTTTATATATGTGGTTTTTTTCCTGGTTAAACCGTTTAAAATGCCAAAAAAAAAACAACAAATTAATATGTTTTTAAAACTACAAATACGTATTTTTATGTATTTAAAAGTATATATATTAATAAAAACATGTTTATATGCAAAAAAACTTGATCAATCATATACGTGTG